TTTTGCACGTGTTTTCGTCGATCTTCACATAGAATCACGAGTGGAGTTTCAATTGTTGTAACACGTTTCATCCTTTTTTCACATTTAAAAACGGTTAAAAGGTTATTGCGTGTTTGATCACGTAGTTCAAACGCCTACTCCCGTATAGCCGCTGATACTACCGCGTATCCGACGTATTCGCATCATTTCATCGACTGTTTGTATAAAATACATTTACGTTTCAACTGTATTGTATTATTGCAAATGTTATGTTGCACTTGAAAACATTAGTCGTGAGCAAAGACCGAACAAATCATGACACACCAGGGACTTTGTTTTCTCATTTACACGGGACAAAGGATTCGTGACTAGCCAACGCGCAATGCAAGAAGATATCACCAATTAAGTCGAATTGATGCAAGTGGAATGGGTGAATGACGCGGTTATAACATCACCATTCGGAAACCCAAGGCCGTCCACGCACCGCTATGGCTGTGGGAAGGACTTGTTTTGGGGGGGAATTCCGTAATATATTTTCTACTCATCCATGTATGACGATTATTATTGCTGCGCGGTCGACCACCATATGCAAGATCATACACAATGAGCAAATTAACAAGGATTGGAATCGCATCATGAGATTCTGTCGGAGAATTCGAAATACCGTTGCGTCAGGTACGTAATTATACGGAGCGGATTTATCAAGAAATCAGAATGAAGCTTGGATAAAATGGTAAAAAAAAAAAAAAAAAAAAAAAAAAAAAAAAAAGGACCAGAAAAAATGGTTGTAACAACCGTAATAATTACTACGAGGATAAAAAAGTATTAATCATAAGTGACCTCGACCTCTTACATAATAAATTATTTGAGAACAACCTAGCATTCTCATGTGTTCATCGCACAGCAATTAAAGTTCAATTGCCGTATCACACATACAGTAAATGACGATTAAAAAGAATTTAAAGCAAAAGAAGAATAGAAATTGAGGCCCATTAATGAGGGCGGCGCGCCGATATACCGGAGGTAAGATGAGCGCCATGTAATAATTATGGCAATGAGGAGAAAAAGTATAAGGGCGAATATGGTAATGAATATCATCTTCGCGTGTTGATTGATTCATCAGATGTTTATGATAGTCCTCGGTCACTGAGAGCTTATTCGTAGACCAGTGTCGGTCAAGTTTTTTTTTTTTTCTTTCTTTCTTTTTTTTTTTTTTACCAACAATCTTTCCAGATTTTTAATATTGTTATTGTCAGTATTAAGGAAAGACTTTGTAGGATAAAGCCTGATCACTGGACGGGATACAGTGCACCACACCTCTCATTTTCCCCATTCCCCCCAATTTAATTGCTCCCGTGTAACAAATATCTTTGGTATTCTATTCTTATACAATCCACAGTATTATGATCTATTTTGTTATTGTCCATGATTCGGGTTATATTGGCATCGAACTCGGACGATGGTGATTCTGTGTACCGCGTTGGTCTCTCAAATACTCCTTATATTGGTTAAATTGGGAACGAATGGGTTTCATGGTGTGATCCAAAAACATACCTTAAACTTACTAGCGACATGCAATATTTCTAGATTGACATTTCGGAAGTATTTTGTTTTCTCGCAGATTTCACGTGTCATTGAAGGCGCAACAAAAAATTACTGGATTTGTCGTATCATCAGATTTTGTACACTTTTTCCTCGTCTCAATGAGAACCTTGAGATTTTTGTTTCTCTTTCCTGTCGATGAAGCTTTCGTCTAATTTCACGCGACCAACAGCTTCTAGCACGCCTGATGCAGGAGATAGTGAGGTTGTGCAGAAATTCACATCCTCTTTTCACCAGCATCACGCTATAATGCGATAGGTTCCGACTGTAAAAAGAAGAGTTGCTAAGAATGAAACTTATATAAATTTCTCATTCTTTGTCTCAAGTCTAGTCACCGAGGATCAGCATCGATTAGCGAGAATCGGGTATGGCTGAAACGTAATTCAGAGATCGAGTATTGTAGCACAATGTACATTGTTTTCAAAGCTTAACTTTAAAAGATGGTGAAAATGACATTTGCCGTTCCAAAATGTAACACGATGTACGTAATTTCTCCTTTTTTCCTGCTATCGGGCCGCGCATCTTCACCATACTTGTGTATTTTAATGTTGATCCGTTCGGGTGTTGTAATTTGTGACGGATCACAAATGTTCAAAAAAAAAAAGTTTTTTCCCTTTAACACGCACCATGACATTAGTTTGAGAAGCATGTATACTGTACACAAATTTCACATTAAGTTTCAATGATATTTGGAAAATCCCGAATGTCTGTAACCCAATCGCCTAATCTAATCGACCCGGCATATTTGCGTTGTTGAATTTTATTCTGCGTGTATGTAAAAAAAATTCTCCTATGATTTACATTATTGCATAACAGATGTTACTGACTGTGGCTGAGAGTTACCGGCTGCAGTCTACATTATGGATTTATGGAATTTTTTTACGACTGTGATTTTTCCTAGGCGCAGTACCGTTACAAAGAGTAGGCATCGTGGAGTGAAGAACGATGGAGGGTGACCAAGTTTTGTCGAGCAAACAAAATTCATGTCTCTATATATATGCATTTTTTTTCTTTTTTTTTTTTGAAACTAGGATCTAAAAGCCAAGCAAAATAAACAATCGCGTGGCGAGGCTTTAATACATCCCGCAATGTTGAGAGAATGAGTTATTTAATGCAAAGGAAATTAGCTAGATTTTAAAGGTGATGACAAAGAAAATGAACTATTTAATATCTAGAAAAGGAATTTTTTTTTTTGGGGGGGGTGATGATGATTATGATAAAAAAAAAAAAAAAAAGAACGGGTCAGAAGATTGAGGAAAAGAGAAAGGACGGCACGAATCGAAACAATCCCTACGCTATCCTTTTGTAACTTTTTGGCATAGTGATGTCTTGGCAGTGAACGAACTTAACAAGAAAGAGGAATTTCATCATATAAAATGTCACCCCGGAGTAATCTGTAGCATATACTTACCCTCAGATCGTATTACCAATTATTCTGTTGCGTAGCATACACCGGCCTAACTGATTCATGCGGTGCGGTGGGTCCGCTTTGTTTTTGTAAGTTCTGACGTGGAAACAACAGGCGGTTTGTCGTCTACCCGTCATGCGTACCTGTACGTAAATTTTTTCATCGCACGTACCGCGCCTCTCCCAAGCTACACCGCAAAAAAAAAAAAAAAAAAAAAAAAAAAAAAAAAAAAGAGGCCGACGATACGCTACGCTCTAGATTATTTTCACGACTGAACGTTGCGGTCACCAGGTTATGTTAAGACGAATCATTTAAGGGAATCAAATGGACGATCAGATGAAAATGGCGGTAAAATTGAAAAAGAGAACGAACGCGGATATAGAAAGGTCAAATGTTTCGAAACGTACGTACGAGGTAAGATTGACTTCACATCCGATTGTACTGATTGTCGATCCGGAGTCCTTGTTATTCTCTTAAGATCAAGAATTCGATTGCGAACAATGATCTTCCCTGTATACTATTTAAAAGAAAAATTGAATTCGCGTCAGCTTAAAATCAGCTAGTTGTAACCGTGGTCACATTTCATCTTTGGTGAAAAGATAAATAAATGCGATATGTAAATATCGGTTTTCCTGATGACCCGTTTTCAAATGTCACCGAATTCGTTATCATGTTTATCCACGCTCCCTCGAATCATCTGAGAAGATGAGAGCGAAACTAGTGCGTCACACACACGCACAAAAAGAGGTTACCAGTTATGCGTATTAACAAACAAAAAAAATTTTTCGGTCACATCATTACGTAATCAAACGCAACGTGCAAACATTGAAATACATGTGTGCGCATACGTGTAAGGATCACAAGTACATACAAGGGTAAGCTCCCTGTTTCAACCTCTTACAAAAAATTTTTCTCAGGCCCAATATCCGGAAATTCCTGAAATGGTCAAAATTCCGATATTTAATTCCCGAAATCATTGGGGATTAGCAGTAGACCTGACCTGCTTTAATGAAATGCAGTAAATTCCCTGCATTCGATGTGCTTTAATTGCATGACGTCACCTGCCATTTCGGAACCGGTCAAAGGGTCGCATCGCGTGAAAAACTCTTTTCTTCAAGGATCTTTCGGTCACTCGTCAAAAGATATTTATTATCGACATCATCACCATCAATTGTATCCTTCCAAAAATTTACACATTTGTGGAAAATTTCTATATATTTTATTATTATGATATGTGCGTGTAAAAAAAAAAATGAAAAAAAAAAAAAAAAATGAACATCATGGTCCATACATATTAGCATACACAGATAGACAGAACTTATTCGTATAGCATATATTCCGTTAAATGATCTTTTTTTTTTTTGATTTTTTTTTTTTTCTTCTTTTTTTTTTTAAGAAATATTTCAATCAATGGTCGCGCGTGAAATTAGCACAAGGAAAAGCGCATGAGCGAAAAATTTCTTAATTTATTTTCGGCGTCGACGAAACCAGGTGTTTCCATCGATCAAAAAAAAAAAAAAAAAAAAAAAAAAAAAAAATACGTGTCGAATAAAATTTCAGAGTCCCCTTTTTTTTTTTTTTTTTTATGTTTTGCGTGTGTTGTTTGTTGGAAGAATGAATTGTAAGCAAAAAGAAAAAATGAAAATGAAAAAACTACATTAAATTATAATTATGTTTTATGAAAAGGTACTTTAATAAAAATAGAAGGGTTCAAGTATATATTACAAAAGAAGAGGGATACATATCTCCTTTTTGACCGACAAAAAGAAAGAGAAAGAACGGTCACGTCCTACATGCGTCCGTTTACGTGTTTGCACATTACCGGCGAAAAAAAATAAGCATATATATGTGTCTTCTCGAAGAGGCGTAAAGATGTGACGGTGTAAAAAAAAAAAAAAAAAAAAACCGTCTGTTTAACTTTCTAATGCGAATGGCGGCGACCTCACGTTAAGGCAAGAGTCCTTTTGGAACATCCTAATCACCAGCGATTTTTTTCTTTTTTTTTTTTCCTTTAATATTGCCACTCGGATAACTCGCATGGGAAATTTACCGGCGAATTGCTCAAAGAATTGCCAATTGACGATTCATTGCTGAACATCCCAGAGTCGTCTGTGTCGGATGTTGACAACATCGGTAATCCCAGTGTCACATTATTGAATCTCGGTAGTGAAGAGGAATTTAGATTTTGCATCAAAGGAGAACTGTTCATCAGTGAACTTGAGTTGTTCTGATGAACCTCCTGATTCAGTTGTGGGAAGTATTCGTACGGCAGAAAGTGCGGATTGTTGTGGCCAGAGTGATTGGATCCGGAATTGGGGACGGGGGTTGGAGCTGGATTCGAATCTTCCAGGAAGTATAGGGAGGATTGGTGAGGGGTCGTGTAATCGGCGATTGAGGTCTGGTGATGCTGGGGAGGTTGGGGCTGTAGCATCGTGGTGTAATGGTGCTCGCTGTGATGATAATTCGAGGGCACGGTGGCAGAAGGCGATTGTTGGGGAGACGGGGTGATGGCATGCTGCTGAGAACGAACCGTGGCGTGTGGAGCGAGCGCATGACCGTATGGTGTGTACCTGATGCTCGTCGAAGGGTTGTTGCGGTGATGGTGATATGGTGCGGACACCGAAGAGACGGAGCTAGGCAGCGAGGATGACTTCACAGAAGCATTCGTTGGCGTTGACCCGACACAACCGTTATCCTTCTTGCTGGTGACGTCATTTTGATTGTTCAAATAGTTTTCTCCCCAACTTTGATAGCTGGGACTGGATATCAGCAATTTCACATGAATCGTCTCAACTTCCCTCGCAATGTCCTCATACTTCCTCTTCACCTTCCTCGGCTCATTTTTCCATGCCATCGCTGCCATTCTCGATACGTCCCTCATGGACAGTTTGCTGCAACCACAGGACTCGAGTTGTTTCGATAATTCCTTGGAAAACTCATTTCGATATATCAAAAACTTGTTGGTGGCGCGTGATAGTAGTTCACCGTTCTTCTTATTACGTCGAATCAAGTCCGGCGGATTTATCTTTGGTGGAAACGGGACGACGATTTTTTTGAAAATTTCGGGGTCCGGAGTTGGATGAGAACTTAAAGGCTGAATTGGAGGTGAATTGATGGTATTTGATTCATCAATAAAAATCCATTCTTGTTTTGTCGTGGATGATGACAAGGGAACGGTGGTCGTTGGCGCAGCGGACGGTGATAAAGATTGACTCGCCATTCTCTCTGCTTCTTTCTTCACTCTTTTTTTTTTTTTTTTCCTTTCAGGTAGTGACAAATGATAAGGTAAGCTAAATTTAATTGTGGTTTTATGTGTGTATATGGAAGTATATACACAGAAAGAGCTCTGCGGTTCACACAAAGGTGGATTGCTATTTGGATAAGGGGAAAATTGGAGGAATAGAGGAAACTTGGGTGGTCGCAATTCCTCTTTTCTCTTTTTTTTTTTTTTTCTTAGTTTGACAGATTGATAAATGCGGTAAGCTACAAAGTGATTTCTTCTCTTTTAAAAAAGTGAAAATGGATGATTGTTTACGCTAGAAACGGATGAAAAAAAAAAAAATAGTGTGATTGATTTGAAAGTGTCTAGCCTGGAGTTTGCCCTATTTATAAGCATTCAAGATGCCGCAAGAAAGAAAAAATATATAAATCATTTTTTTTTATTATGCACCTTTTTTTATTATTGAATCGTGTGAAACAAGCTATTGAATAAACTTATGTACGTTTATTTATTACGTACACATTTTGAAATTTTGAAATGTAGTTCCTTGCCAAAGAGGAATTTCATTTTGGCTGCCTCATACGAACTGAATTTCTTGAGGGTCCTTCGCAAAAAGCTGCACGTTGACCGGACAGTTATTTCACCTTCGGACCAAGTATGAGAGTGATTTTACGTATGGCCCGTGCTTACACGCTGCGCGATAAAAAATTACCTTGTTCCCAGGGCAAAAAAGCAAATTGAGTAATCGGTCTCACCGGTTCTCTTTCTTTTATTTTTTTGTCTTCAACCTTTTTTTTTTTTATTTTACCTTATCTTATTCTATTTTTGCTCGAGAAATCCGATATTAAAAGAGAAAATATAAAGGTGACAACTGTGTAGTATATACATCGGATCACGATGTTTCAAACCCCCCCCCCCCCCCCAAAAATTTTTTTTTTTTGTGTTTTTTATGAGAAATTAATTTACTCATCTCATTTTTTAATATAAAACCTACCTATAAATAATTTTTAAATGTCTCTGGTTTTTTTTTTTTACGGCATTCCGAGAACGGTCATTGGTCCCCTGGTTGTTTTATTTTATTTACAGTAGAAATTGTTGTAAAGGAAAAGGGGGACTCCCAGTACCTAGAAGTTAGAACAGGGTGCACCGAAAATGAATGCACTGAATATCCCCGGGCTATTTTCAATTATGCACGCAATTGATTAGTAATTTATTGATAATTGCTCTATGACGAAAATTTTTCATCAACCAGTTAATTTAAACCGAGATGCTAGAATTTTCGGAACCCACTTGACAAGAATTTCGGTGATTCTTGTGAGAATGGTAATTCTTTTTTTTTTTTTTGTTTGCACAATCGGATCTACAAAGGGACCCCCACCTATCCATTCTTCGCTCACGGCACGACTTCTCTTGTCATCCATTAATCTATTCTTGAGGACCCAGCCTGACTCGTATAATTAGAAATTACGCACCCACGATGTCACTTGACATGTCACCTTCCTTCGATTCTAATTCCGGAATTCTGTGGCAATTTATCAAAGGGCAACTGAACCTCGAAGATAAAGGTTAGACCAAAAAGTACATGTTTGCATCAAATCTTGATTTCTTTATTTATTCGACCCACTCTATTCTATTATATTCCCTTTTTTTTTTTTTTTTTGGGGAGGTGTCACTGATCAAGCTTTATACTACAGGACATATCGCATTCTTCTGAAGACATGATAAGTACATCATATAATGGCAAAGTTTTATATGTATTGTAAATCGTAAACGTAAACAAATGTCGTACGTTGAAAAAAATTATGTGCATGCATTGGCCATTGACGCTATTAACGCACATATATGTGCTAGTAAATTAAATGTGCGCGTTGAGAAAAAATTTCACAATGACTTGACTCGTAGAGGCGTGAGTTCGGTGATTTGAAAGAGAGCAAAAGAAGAAATATCCTTGGATCCGTATAAATTATTTTAAGCAAATATTACAGTTGATGATTTTTTTTCTGGCGTTACTCGTTGTCTGCCCGAAAAATTAAAATTTACACACAAATTACTTAAATCTTTTATTCTTTTGTGATTTCTAAATTTCGACTTTGAAGTTTAAAAGGGATCCAAACCGTTTTTAAATGGTACAATTGTCTGTTTGCGTTTCCACGAAATCCGAACGGACGTTGCTTTCCAGATTATTTTTCTAAATTTGAAACGCTGAAAATTATTTCCCTCGGACTCACGAGATAGACGCTGAGGCGAGTCGTTACCCCATAAGGCAAAACATCAATGTATAGGGATGAAAGGGTTCGTTGAAGACTAACCGACAGATGGTATCGATATTCTGAGATTCCGCATATTCGATCATACTAAAATGCATTTACATACGAGAACATCTTACCCTTTACTTTAGATGGTTGATTGCATGTAATGCTTGCACATTTCGTGCGTACGCAAATACTGTAAATACCCAAATCTTACCTTATCCTTTCTCACAATAGGGATCCAAGGGATTTATTGAAATTTCCTCCATAGTCTCCGAGAAGATGCGTTTGAATGTAAAGCAAATGCGCTTTAAATATGCGTACCCATTCAAATCAGCAGAGTGAATGCATGGGGAGAG